TCTGCCTTGTGTGGGAGGCTGGAGTACATGACTTCAGAAGTCCACTCCCACTCCAGTTTCTCTGAAATGTGACCAAGCACGTTCTCAAAAGCATAGACCTGTCCCTGGAACCCATCAGCCTTTCTCAGTGGCTTATCGGGTGGGCAGCCTCACTCAGGTTAGCTGGCCAATGATAAACTACAAGGAGCCCTCTTAGCCGGACACATTAATGCAGCAAATCAACTTCAGAACAGGATGGGCACAGGACAGTGACGTCAGGAACAAGAAATAATACTTGGAAATCTAATTGGCAGGGAAGGAGAAGCAACAATAACATAGCAATAATAAGATGGAATGAATTAACTCATCTCCGGCTCACAATCAGGCTAAAAAACACACAACTCCCTAATATTACACAAGCCAAAGCCTAGCTGTGTGGGAATACCCCTTCCTTGTTTCCATCCTAGGGTTTTGAGAAGTCCTGCTAAATTGCCTTTGCGTCCATAATCTTGGCTAAAATGAGGACAATGATGAGAAAAATAAATCCATTGTAATAAGCATCCAGAACTGAGGATTAGTATGAAAATTATAGACGTGTGTATTTGCTTAGTAAACAATTTCATAACATCCCACTGTGGTCCAGAAAATCCCTCCAGAGCCCCCGACAAAGCCCAAGCCCCTTCCTCCTCACTGCGTAGACAGCTTTATCTAGGACCCGAGCAGATGTTAAGAGGTTCCAGGAACTAGTCTTAGCACAATTTTCTTATTTCCTTTAAAAAGAGGGAAAAAGGGGAAATAATAGCTGCTTGAAAAGACAATTTTCAAATTCATTCCTCATTTGTGGGATAAACTATCTGGCAAAGGACGAGTGTGGTCTGACTTCAGGTTTCTGACTTCATAAACCTGTTGTAATAACAGCTCTTCTGGTCTCATTTTGTCACATAAGGAAGAAAAGACTAACTGTTGATTAAGATCTCAAAACTACCTTGGCCCTCATGGCTCAGGGGTTGAACGTCGACCTATGAACCAGGAGGTCATGGTTCGATTCCCGGTCAGGCCACATGCCCGAGTTTCGGGTACCATCCCCAGTGGGGGGCATGCAGGAGGCAACCAATCTATGATTCTCTCTCATCATGGATGCTTCTCTCTCTCTCTCCCCCTTCATCTCTGAAATCAATAAAAATATGTTAAAAAAGACTTCATCCTTTAAAAAAAAAATCTCAAAACTAGCAAATAGTCTAAAGCTGAGACAGTAGTAAAAAGGTAAACAATGTACATTTTGCCTAAACTCAATTTAGAGATTTAAAAATAGCTGTTTCCTTATTTGACCTTGACTACAAGGTAAAGATGCTTGAATACAAAATAATTAAGATGTTTAAAATTTCTGCCAACAGTGGTGACTTTTGTGACATGGGCTGAAAGTAAAAAAAAAAGAGGAGCATATTTACTTTTTATATTTCTGTATTTCTTGAAGTTTTTTATTCTACCAAACATCTGTCACATATGCAATTAAAAAAATTAAAATCTGCTTTTATCTAGGAACTTGGTTAAAAAATTTAACAGGGCCATTTTTCTGGTGATCTGAATATTTAAAATCCTTATTTAGGTTTATCATAACCTGTGTTAAGGGAAAAACTGATTCTGGAATGTTCTTGATAGAAATTCACATTTGTCTGAAACCTTCTCATAAATCACACACCCAGTTAATGGCACAGATTATGGTGATGGTTTCATAGACATATGTTTAACTCCAAACTCACCAAGTTGTAGACATTAAATACATACAGTTTTCTGCATGTGAATCATACTTCAATAAGTTGGTTTTAAAAAAAAATCACACACCTGAGTTCAGGTTTTATATAACATCAGAAGGTCTCCATCTAAATCTGTCTCTACACTTTGTGATTTTAAAAAAACACCCTTTGACAGGAACATTAGCCAGCACTACAAGTTAGAACAACTTTTAAAAACTCTAATTTGTTTCCTCACCTGTTATTTCAAAACTTTGATTTCATCCTTTGTGAGGGAATTTTCCCAGCCACAGCCTCCTAACTGGCAGAAAGGTGTAGGATTCCCACCTTATTTTACCTAACTCATCAGACCCTAAAAGTTAGGAGTGGCAATAGGGAGAAAAATTAATAGAGAATGTAAAGTAAGGTGCTGCTTCATGCAGAAACAACCGACTTCCCCATGACCCAATCCTGCACTCTGCTTAGAAAGACCCAGGCATAAGGCTCTTACCACCTTTTACAGCGAATCCCTTTAGCAGGTGTCTCACAACAGGATCAGTATTGGGTTTAAGAAAAAGCTAAGGAGAACCTGTCACCACACTGTTTTATCACATGTCATACAAACAGTGATACTGACCTCCTCCCCTCAAGGCATCAGTCCCCATCTGTCTGAGGAAAACTAACAAAGGTAAGCTCTCAAGGTCCTCACTAACACCATCATCCCTTGAGTCTGCTATCTGAGCGAAGTGTCTACCGGGGTTTGAGTGGTTGGTATGAAAACCAGTGAGTTGGTGCCTCAAAAAAAAAAAGTCAATGAATTTATTGCTGTACCACCCACAGTTGTTGGCCTAGTGCTTCAGCTCTGTCATGTCATAACATACATGTCAATTACTGCATTTGTGTGACACCTGGGGTGACTGGGTGAAGCTGCTTAGAGCTGGAAGTGATTAGCACGTCAAAGGAAGGGAGGTGCTCGGGGAGTCTCAGGCCCCACTCAGGGCCCCAGGGCGGAGGGACTAGTACTTTGGAACTAACTAACATGCAGCTCATTCTGGGCACACTGGTTTGGAAGCTCAGTCTAGTCCATCAATACTCTGTGCATCAGGTCTGTGAAACAATCCAGTAACCAACCCTAAATTCCAACCAAACTAACTCTAAGAACCAACCAAACCTGATGGACTGTTTTCCTAGAGTCAATCAACTCTGCTTATCAAACTACCAGATTTAAAGCACGAGTAAGTGTATGAGTGTGAGTGTCTGCGTGTGTATGTGTTCTGGGTGACTTCTACTTTCATTCAGCTCCCACGCTCATTCAGCAAGAATTTTTTTAAGGATTAAATTAAGGGAAAGTGCTTTGAAGCCCAGAAGAGGAAACAGACAAGATTCTGCCCTTAAGGAAACTGCTGTCCTGTGGGGGAAACAAGACATTTCTATAAATTACATTTGCTAAATGGATCAAACAATAATTGCAGCACGAGGTAAAGAGGACATTTTCCAGAGGAGAGCAGTGAGTACACTGCTATGGAAATAGGAAAAGGAGGAACAGGAAATGTGTTCCTCTGGCAGGGGAAGGGGTCCTGGGAGAAGAAAGCACTGATACCAAATCTTAAAAGAGTCCTCCACGGGACTCAGGTAGCCACCAGGTACTCAAAGCAGAGCAAAAGCAAGCAAGCAAACTATCCAACCATTCAAAATGGCACAGTC